TTTTTTTTTTTGTTTTTTTTTTAATTATCAGTAATTTTTTTAAACACACTTTTCTTTTCTCTCATCTGATTTTTATTAAGAAGTAGATTCTTTTGTATAAATAATTCTCTTACGTGGTTAATTGGAATATTATTATGTTATTTATTGATTTTTATTTGAAATTAATCTTATCTTCGTTTTGTTATTTAATATCAGGATTTTTCATCTTTTTATTTATTGTTAATTTATTTTCATTTTTTTATGGACACATATATATAGAAACGTAAACGCAAAGTTTTTCTTTACTCTTGTTATAACTTTCTATTAACACTCAAGATTTAGTTGAAAATTTTCTAAGTGATAAAGATATTTTCTGCAGAGAAAATTTCGGATTTCACACATGTTTTATTAAAAACATAAAAAATGTTTTAAAAGATAATCATAAAATCCTTACTGTTTATTTAGCATTAAGAACAAACGTACGATCGAATGTTCTATATTTTGCAGCTGAATATTTTGTAAACTAATAACTAGAAATTATTTTAGAAAGAAACCAAAGTCTTCAAGACTCAGTTCTGATGCAACACTAATTTCGTTAAAACATTCTATCAGCTATCAAATTTCCCAAAAATCCTATACACACATACACACACTTTACATTAACATTTATGCACTGTTTTTAATAACAATTATAATTCATATAATTAAATGTAAACAATAATTACGATAAATCAAATGAAGTAAAAAAACGAATATACACAAAAATTGAGTATAGAAAATGTCTATTAAAAATTTTCATAATTAAAAGTATTATAATAAATTTGTTATTAAAATACGAGGAAGAAAAAAAAAAAGAAAAACGGGAATAAACAATTGAATAGATGGAATATCTCGAATAAAACGAAGATAACCTCGAGAATCGAAAGACTTTCGTATTTTCGAACATCCATTTTGAAATGTCTACTTGGTTAACTGATCGGTATCTATATAATGAGGGGAATAAAAGCGAAAGATAAGATCAATGAGCATCTAGAAGATCATTTATCTTGGGTAACATCAATCTAACGGTTTTCATTCGAGATCATCCGTTTATTTGTTTCTTTATTTATTTTCCTCGAAATCGTTGAACCATTTTATTCGCCATTTGTCGACTTTGTGCCAGTTAGGATTGTGTCCGGTCCGACCTAAATCTTCCGGACGTCTACAGGTGCACGTAGAGTTCGTCTCCATTCGCGTTCATCCAACCACCCACCTCCCCACCCCAACCCCCTCCTAGTCTTCTCTTACCGTTCTCATCTCTCTTTTTTTTTCTTCTTTTAGTACAATCTTTTCGATTGATCCATCCCCACGCTGTCTTTTCGTGATAGTTTCGTTAAATTCGATTAGTTTTCTCATCTCTCTTTTTCCTTTCCTTACTTTTTTTTTTTTTGCTTTTGCTTTTTCTTTTGCTTTCTTTCATCTATCTCTTTCTTTATTTTTTTTCTTTCTGCTGCTGCTGATGCTGCTACTATTGGTGTACCTTCTTTCTTCATTTTTCTCAAGAGGAAGTAAAGCCGAAGAAATGTTGGATGGAAGGGATCATCGAGGGAATGGAACGAAGCGTAGTTTCAGTTAACACACACCTAACAGAGTCGACACGGTTCCGACACCTTTCACGTAAAACTAAAGGAACCTACGAGTAGGACGACATAGTCCTGTCCCTGTCGTCCTGGGACTATCCAACTAAAGGAGGAAAAATGAAGGAGAAAAAAAGAAGAAAAAAAAAAGCGAGGACTGAAGCTTAGGCCGTACGTCGAGTACTCCAGTTTATATCTAAGACTACCTCGTCAAATTCCCATGAGCTTTAAGGCAAGCCCCATTGCTTGTCGAAAACGACGATGTTCTAGGAACAACCTTTGATAAATCGCGTTACCACGAACTTGAACTTGCATTAATCGGTCTTGCTAATCCTTCCCATCTATCTAAGCTCGATACATTTTAATCCTGTCTCCTCGAGAACTAAATGATAACTTTCAAATAATATTTATATAAGAAAAGTTTACTAACTATATAATCAATTATAAAGGATATTTATGCAAAAGGTATATACTATATATACTATACTATGTATACTATATATAGGTATATACTATATATACTATACTTTGTATATTTGTTTAACGTATTGCATATGTGTATACAATATTATGTTTGTTTATTGTAGTATATCTATCACGAATTATAAATTGTATTTCCATGAATATAAATGATATTGTAATGAATATTACGTTACGTTTATTGATATCTCATTTCGAACAAATTGGAAATGAATTTGATGGGATTCTATGTTAAATGAAAATGATTTTTCTATACGTACGCGCAAGTCGATTCATTTGTAAAAACAATTACGGAATAATCATAATTTCTTTTCGGTATATCTATAATTGAAAAAATAAAAAACACATTTAATATTCGATAATGAATAACGTTTATAGTTTCGATGTAACAATTACCGATGTGAGAAAGTTGCATAATAATCCTCATTGGAATGAGAGCGGCCTGATATCGGTTCTAAAAGAAAACCGCGTAATTACATTATTCCACGTGGTACTACCAAGTTCAACGACATAAATATTTATCGAGTATAGCGACTAACAGTGAATAGAAAATAGACGACAGACTACTACTACTATAATCGTGATGGTGGTGATGGTGGTGGGGGTGGTGATGGTGGTAGCACGAAAATACGCTAAAATTCGGTTAAACGAGATTCTTCTCTATGATGCAGAAACGATCTTTTAGGGTTTTGCCCCCCGTCCCCAGTCCCCCCGTTCCCCGTCCCCGCGTTACCCTCGCGTACTTTAGGAAGCAATGAAAATTTAAATTGGAGTTAGAAATTAAATCCGTTCTTTATCCGATATCGAGTAAATCCTTGAAAATCTGTAGAGGGAGGAAGCTGGTAGCCCATGGCTGACATCTCACCTTTACCGTTTTCTATCTATCTATCTATCTATCTACGTGAAAGGTTTCGTTCTCGGTTTTCTTCATGGAAATAGTACCGGTTCCACAGTTTGGCTTTTCTCTCATGGCAAGTAATTAAGAGAAGTAATTAGCATCGATCGTAAAACGAGAGGGAAAACCGAACTGCTGCGATTCTGCGAATGGACATAACCTTTTGTGAGGTTAGGTGGTTTTCTTTTTCCCCTTATTTTTAGAAAGAATACGATAACGTTCGTTATTTATATCAACCTCTTTCTTTTCTTTTTTTATTCTTTCCAAACCTCCCCCTCCACCCCAACCCACCCTCCAGAATAATTTTATCCGAACACGTTTTTACGATGAACTCGATCGAAGAAATGGCGCCACGCCTCGCGTTCTTCTTCAATAAAGAGAAAGAGAGTGAGAGAGAGGGAATGAGAAAGCTTGCGAGCTTTCTCGATTACGTTTAATGTCGAATATGTTCCGATTCGAAAGATTTCTAGGTCGATCGAAATGACGAAAGGACTAACGCGAACACATTATTATATTCTTCGATATAACGGGGGATGGATCGTATTAAATCTCAATCTCATCATCGAATATAAACCCCGTATTTTCCTTTGGTATATCAATGCACCTACTCGAGATTACTCGTTCGATCTTACATCATCCAAACTTGCCCCACATCCCCCGTCCCCCGTCCCCGCCACCCACCCCTACGTTTTCCCTCTCATATTGGATTTTAATTATTTTATCGAGTAACTTAGGTAGATATAGGTTAGGTAATTTAGGTTGATAAAGTAAATATATCGGTATATAACAAAATCGTGATATATAATCTTCAGTGAAGACATTTTTATTAATTTATAACTTAGAACTCTATGTTTTTTTTTTTACGTAACATAAATTTGAAAGCCCAACTCTAATCGATTTTATCCAAACGCTTTAACCCTTCTTTGCATGATTTTTTCTTTTCTTTTAAAATAAATCAGGGTGATGTAATTAATGCTCTAGATTAAAGGAAAAATATTTAAAAAAAATCCTAGTGTTATTTTTTGACAACTGCGTTTTGTTGTACGCAATAGTCGCTTAAAARGTTGCCAGCAACAACAAATATACAGTACAAGGGTTTTGAGTACCTTTTATTGTTGACTAAATATTATGATTGAAATTTCCATTTTCTTACGTCATATATTATATCATTAGAAGACTTTTGATTTTTTCATCTCGTCCATTCATCTCAGATTGGATTAACAAACGATCGGTATTGTTCCTATTGGTCGGGAATCCTCTTTCTGACTTTCGATCCGGCTTAAAAGTGAACTTCCAAGGACGCTCGATTAAATCTTAATCTCGATGAACACGGTCTTGCCCATTTAATTGTTCGATCATCTATTCTTATCTTTCTCACCTAACACTTTTTCTTATAGTACTGATCGTGAAATCAAACTATATTATCTTGAAGTTAATTATTGTTTAATGAAACATCCCATTTGGAAAATTTGTTCGTTGTCGTTGTCCACTTATCGGATATATTACAAGCTTTATCGATGATAATTGAACGACTAATTTCTGGCTTATCCTTGCTTATTCAATCTGGCGAATGGTTTTGAAATGGTGACGATGACAACTGTTAGATATTATTCACGCACTTTGGTATTATACATTTGTCCCTTGTTAAAATGAAACACAGTGTCAGTCACCGATTTCTGATCCGTAATGGTTTCATTTACACCGAACAAATTCGCTCAACCACCAACGTCATTCTCCATTTGACCATAGACTAGGTGCATCCTATGGAAGGCTTCTTGTTGTTGTTATTGTTATCGAATGGAACCTGACACTTCTCCCCTCCCAACCCCTCCCCAGCCCCTCTCATCATCTATAACTGAACCGTTCCGTTACGTTCGATGTTCAACTTACCAAGAACAACGAAAATCATCGAACGATAGCTTCGTTACTGTTAATGGTACCCTATTCTCAATGATGATGATCATGATTAATTAATCGTGATCGAGGACTCTCTCTCTCTCTCTCTCTCTATCTTTCTCTCTCTCTCTCACCATGTTTCCCATCGTAGCTTATGCTTTTGCCATCTGCTCGTCGCCACATCACGTAAGGGACTGGATAACCTTTTGCTTTACAGGTCAACGTTACATTCGTTGCTTCTCTTACAACCATATCCGTACTGGTATCCTTGTCGATTATTGATGGTGGTACTATAAAAAAAAAATAATGTTTAAAGATAAGTATGGTTATGTTAAAAAATGATCAATTATTCATTTATATATTTTTTTTCAATTATAATCTAATCAGGTTAATTTTAGTCGAGATATCAATTTATTTTATATAAATTGTTTATGAATTAGAAATAGATCAGATAAAGATAGTTTTTATAGTTGATAGTTTAGATTATATATCGGAAAATTGTAATTAATGAATACTTGATTTATTAATCAATTAGTTTTACATTAAAATTTCATGAAATCAATATAAATATGGTAAAAATAATCTTTTGAATTTTTTCATATGTGAAATTAGAAATAGGTCACATATAAAGATATTTATTATTTCTTAAATAGAATTATTTTAGAAAGCTACGAAAGAAAAATCAATATATATATATATTCAATTACTCGTATAAACTGTTTCGACATAAATATAAATGATGAAAGAAATAATATGTCTAACATTTCCAAATGAAAGGATAAAATTCAAAAAATCTATATATATATATGCATAGAATATAGTAAGTTTTACGTAGGATAAGATAAATTCAATGGATAGAAGTCAAATTACAAAGTTAAAAGGATGAGAATATTTAAGTGAGCAAATTCATTTGCATAAAAAGTAAATAAAATAGATAAAATATATCTTACCAACAACTTGTACGTAACCTTGCTTGTATCTCATGGGGTCTGTGTTAACTTGACACATGTACCATCCACGATCGCTCTCCTGCGTTTTCTTTATATGAAGGTACCATGAACGATGGTCGTTGTACGATAAAGAGATCCGTGGGTTCTGAGTAATCACATTTATGTGGATCGACAATATCGTTTGAGTATCGACCCGAACCCAGGCTACCTGAAAACACGTTATGATGCAAAGGCTTCCTCCTGAATACGTTCTATGGTAAATGGTTCTACTTTATTCGCGAGTAAATTTCTATTTCTCTCTCGTGTTTGTAAAATAGAAAAGAAAAGAACCAAAAAAAGGAAAAGGGAAAGAAATAGAATAAGAAAGAGAGAGAGAGAGAAAGAGAGAGAGAGAGATAGCAAAACGAAAGGATGTGTTTGCATATTCACCGGTAATAAGGAAAATTTGCTGCTGTAAAATTAAATCGAAAAGTAGAAGAGACGTAGTTTGTAATTTCGTTGTTAGGCAAACGAGAAAGAAAGAAAGAGAAAGAGAAAGAAATGAGATGATAGAGACGAGTAATGAAAATACACTTTCGACAAAATTTGTCGAAAAAGATCGTTGGTTCATTTGTCCTTAGAATATATTTTCCATTCGAAGAGAAAAAGCTAACTGTTCGTTGTGTTAACACTCGCGAATAAGATTAAACAGTTTAGTAAGAAAACTCTCGTAAGAATAAAGTGCAAGATAATGTCACGAATTAAGCAAGCTATAAATGTTTTAATGGGATGAAAAAGCGTTTTCAGATCGATCAGTTCTTCTCGTTTATGAAGTGTCGTTGGAAGAAACATCATCGGGATTATATCGATTGGCAATCTAAAAGGAACATTTATCTGTTCAATCTATATAAATTGATGATGATTCAACGTGTTCGCAACCTTTTTTACTTTTATTTTACTTTTCTTTTGATTTTCTTTACTTAAACGTGCGATGAGAAAATAGATCAAGACTATGTTTCTTTTTTTTTTTTTTTTTTTATTATTTTCTAGAAGATTATACGAAGTGATACTTTTTACCCCAAAAAGGGTTTTTATTTATTAATATTTTATACAAATGAAGTGAAATACTTATTCCACGTTTTCCTCTCTCTCTCTCTCTCTCTCGAATATATATATATATATATAGGATAATTTTATTTTAAGATATAATATTAAAAAATAAATCTCTGAGACACATCTCTGTGTGTGTGTGTGTGTGTTTATCATTTAATCAAACTTTTTCATATTTCATATTTTTCACGCAGCACAGTTAATTATATTTGAAATATTATTTATTTATGTAAATAACTTGTTTTTACTAATTATAAGAAAGTGCAATTTTCTTCTCTCCGACGGTGTTACTCGAATTGAAAACATTCTGGAAATAAGTTTTCCCTTCGGAGAATATAGAAAGCATCAAGAAAGAGAGAGAGAGAGAGAGAGAGAGAGAGAAATAAGGGGATGGTAATTATTGTTGCTATATTATTTTCTCATTTTTTTCTCTACTTTTTTTGCTTTCTTTCTTTATTTCCACCTCAGCTAAAATGTCATAAGAATATTTCGTCCGAATTAGAGAAAAAGGTTCCTTTCGTATTTGTTTTTTTTTTTTTTCATATCTCGTTGCTATTTCGCGGTTATATTAAATAATAATTTCTATATCAACGCGTAACGAACGTAGAGTTATTTTTTTTATTGGAATAAAAAAAGAAAAATGACTTTGGTCAAGATAATAATTTGTCGAATATCGTTGACGAGAGAAAGTACAGAAGAATGAATATAACCATGGATCGATGGTTTTATCGGAAACGACGATTTGGGTATCATCACATTTCCGAAAGCCTCTCGTCCGGTTCCAAACGATTTGCAAAATCGTTGGCCCGTCCAATCGGATCAGCTGGCTTTCCACGATCGGTACTAAAATAATGACGCGATAAGAAATTAATGTTACGGGTTAAACGATTTCTTTTTTTCTTTTCTTTGTTATAACTTCACGATGAAATAAAAACAAATCCGTTCGCAGAAAAGAAACGAATGAATGAATGAATGAATAAATAAATAAATAAATGTATGGTAAACTGATCTATATTATTTATAATTTGAACTCGTAAGTCTTTTCTAAGATTGCATGATTAATGGTATCAATTTATTCTATTGTTGTCAGATCTCAATTAACTGAAGGAAAATGAAGCAATTATGCAAACCCCTTGTCGGAGATGAAGGAAATAACAGCATCCAATTTGCAGTCCGCAAACCGTGCCCATGGAAATATTTTCATTAATATCTTCTATTGTTCTATACTCCGTCCCTTTTCTCACTTCTCTCTCTCTCTCTCTCTTATCGCAGCTATGATTAAGGGATAATTCGATAATTATTTTATCTTATTAGTTAATACAAATATGTTGAATCTACCTTCTCTACTAGGATCTTAACAATCTATTACGAATTTTAACACTTACATCTTTTTTTTTTTTAGATTTTATTTCTATACATTTATTTACTGTAGTGTAATATTGCTTGAATATTTCTGTTATTTCATTTTTATATTCCTATGTGTACCTTTATTCTTACTTATATTCGTATTTTAATATTTTACTTATTGTTTAATATTTATATTTCATTTAAATATGTTGTTTTATATTTTACTCTTATACATTTATTTATTGGGTGTAGTAAACATTTTTCTCGTATTTTTCTGATAGTAAATGTTAATCTGATTGATCTGGCAGTTTGAAAAAAAAATACTGAAATATTATATAATAATGAATAAAAACAATTGTGTGATATTTGTTCATCGAGTCAAAAGTTATTAATTCTTGAAAAAATGAATAAAAATAATAATAAATATATTTGAGGATACATTTGGAATTTTTATTACAAGTTAAGAAAAAAAAAAAAGGAAAAATATGGGACTCACGAGATCAGATTAGTAAAAATAAAATAAAATTCATGATGTTTATATACGTGATGCATTATCGGTACACTTGGCACAAAGTTGATTTGAGTGTTTTCAATCTGGAAATTTCGATATCAAAGATGCATCAAGTTCTGATCGACGAATCGTAGGAAAAGTCGATAAAGTGGTGGAAAAAATGGTGCCAGATCGGAACGTTAATAGTTGCGATATTGGTAAGAAAGTAAACAACCCCACACACAGAGAGAGAACAGTTTTAAAACATTTGAGAAAAAAAAATACTGAACGCAAAATACGAACGAGAAAACTTGTTTTAAATATTACATTGAAAATACGTAATTTTACTCGATCAAATAAATCATTCCTTTTGAAATATTTTTCTTTTAATTTGCTTCTATCACATATTTATTAATTTACATGATATGAATGATAGAAAAATATTCAACTTACTTTATAATTTTGAAGATTATCAACGACGCATGCCAAGAGTGCATCGCGTCCAACGCTGACAGTCACATTTTGTATTTCCTCAGCAAACTTTGGAAACTTGTGATCTGAAAGAGAAGAAAAAAGACATTGAAAAACAAAAAAAAAACAACAGCAACAAAAAAATGTTAAAGCTACTTTGTAATCAAGGAAACATTTTCACGTAGTTTATTCGTAGAATTTTTCCTAAGATGAAAAACCGAAAAAAGTGGAAGCGTTCGTTATCATTATCTCGAATATTCGAGATTGAGATTGAAGAAAATAGAAGGAGAGGACACTAAACGTACTTTTGAATCATTATGTGCTGTACGGTATAATGAGTTTCGGAAAGTTGAACCATGGGGTACACCCTTAGGGACTTTTAGATTCTCTAATGTCTTTATTACGCATCAAGCATCTTGAATTATTTATAGGTGCGAGAAAAAAGTAGGAATAAGAAAAGAAAGAAAAAATTTTAAGAGAAAGATAGATAGATAGATAGATAGAAAGAGAGGAAGAAGAAGAAGAAAAGAAATTCGTTGGATAAGATGGTTGCCGAGGTTAAAAAACGTGAAGGAAAGGGAAGGGAAGGTAAAAGAAAAAGAAGAAGAAGTTCTTTTGGAAGAGTACAGCCAACGCTAGGCTTTGTGAAAAGCTTCAGTTATTTTTATTTCCATTTTAAAGAGTACGAGCAAGCCAGTGGTAGTAGTTCGATTACAGAGTAACGTTAATTAAGTTCACCGTGCTTTATTATATAAACAGTTCAGCACGTTAATTGCCGTTTCTAACGTTCCCCGTGTTCCCTTTTTCAAGATTTTAATAGTAGGTAGCATGACACAGGTAGAGAATTTCTTTTCAACCAAACAATTAGATCGAATTATAATCATAAGTGAATTGAAAAATAAGATTAACTATTTTCATACATTTGTATAATACATATAAATTCGAATATTTAAGTCGGAAGAACAAAAAAACAAAAAAGAAAGTTCGAATGGGAACGACAAAAATATAGTCAGATATATTATTAATTAAATAATATTCTTCATTTGAAACATGTTAATCGATTTAAGAACAATATGTCGTTTAAAAGATTTCTTTCTATATATATAAATGTACGCTTCATTTTCGATATCCTCGACGTTTCTCTCGTCGGTTACTTTAATTAAATTTTCATATTTTAATTAATGAATTGTACGCGCGCAGAGGAAATCTAGATAGTTATATTTAACGATAAAAGCGCGTTGTATATATAGAAACGACGTACACGTTGATATCAGTTAGATGCGTATGACTCATAAAGATTGTGAAGATTGACATTTCACCGTGTTGTGTGATCAGACCAGATTATAATGCAGCCGTAATTAATCAACCATAAGCCATTTGAAATTGAAATTTTCAAATAGGAGATTTCTTGTTTCCTTTTAATATAAATTACAATGAAATCACATATATATATATATATTTACGAATGTGTTAAATTTTATTCGTACAAATAAATTTCCTATTTTCTCTTAGTCATTCTTATTGAAGTATAACGAAATAAATCAATCTATGTTGAATCATAGGAAAAAATAAATGAAATACGAATTGTTAATCGAAATCGAATCGTTTATAGGTGTACGATCATTTCATCTCGTTCCCTATTTTCGAACAATGTCAAGCATTTAAACGGAACCAACTGGCCACGAGTTTTATTCGCCTGTCTGCGTTATATTAAATAAACATCCTCGAGAATATCCTGGATGAATAATTAATTTTCTGTTCGCTCAACAACTTCTATATAATACCTATGCACAATGCATTAATGATAATGAGACCCAGTCAGTTCGTGCCCGTCGAAATTCATAAGCACGTCGCACGAAAGTCGTTATCAAACTGATTAACAAGCTTTGATTAAAGCGAATCTGTTGGATGTTCTTCATTGTGTGTCCTGCTTATGTGTATAACATATCACTAACAATATGTACTTCAATATTTTATCTATTTCGAATCGTTATTCGAAGTTAGAGTAACGCAACGATTTAGGCTAATTTAATATTCTGCTACAGAATGTTGCAGACTATCTAAATTATTGAAAATCATATTTCGTTTTTTCTTATACAGAATAGAAAACAATTTTATCTTTTTAAATAATTTATCATCCAAACGTATTCATTTGTTTATACTTATATATATATTTATACTATATATTTTATACTATTACTATTTACTATACTATTTTACTATTACTATTTATATATATAGTATATATTATATTACTATATATTTATTTTATACTATTACTTTTTTTTATAAACGTTTTTAAAAAATAATTTATTATTCACATGCGAAAATTTATTGAAACGAAAAATATTTCTACGTTTGTTAAGATTTAAAAATCAGTAACAATTAACTTTACCAAAATGTTTAATTTATAATCTACGTTGGTATTTTAGTATGAATGATGTAGTATAGTTGTTCTTTGATGAATATAAATTCGACTACGCGTATAATACAACAGTTATGTATTTTCCCTACTTAGGTGTCTAAAGTATGTAACGTTTGCATCGAAAACTTTGTATTTCCCTATAACTGACTCGTGTAAAGCAATTGTTCATAATAGTTTTGTTAATAGATACGACTTCTTTGAAGTAGCTAGTACAATTCAATTTCAGTAATAACGTTATGCATAATTTTATTCTCAAATAAACTAAAAAGCCTAAAATAATGGGAAAATAATATTGTTCTTGTTTGTCGTAACACAGTTTTGATCTTTCAAAATGGCATTCGATCGTTGTTTTTATTGGACACAATTGTAAGGTTCACAAAATTCAGCATTTTTCGTTAAAAGTGGCACGTTGCAAAAATTTATAAGACTCTGCGAATATTTTGTTGTTTTTTATTCTACTTGTAGATAAAAGTATTAATAAAAAAATGCACAGAATTTGTTGACCAGTGCGTAGAACAGAAAACTATAGTAATTGAAATCTAAGAGAATATTTATTACATTTGTTCTGGTACCACATTCTAATGGAAAACGACGAATAAATCTTCGTTAAATCGTATGGGGGGTTTTTTTTTTATATAATAATGAAAGTCAATAAGGATCCTTTTATATATATTTTTATGTTCTCCTTTTTATATTTATATTTATGACAAACATTATAACGTATGACGATGGATTTTTTTTTCTACACTTTAGAAATGGGAAATACGAAAAAGAACAAAAAAAAAAAAGAAGAATAAAAACTATACCGCGAATGTAGAAACGTAGGACGAATAAAAAATGCAGTAGGAAAGTAGTACGAACAGAACAACGAAAATACGAGCTCGGGCAAGTAGTACGAATGAGAAAAAAGTTAGCAACCAAGTAGTACGACTAGAGATATTGAACTCTTTCTGATAATAGAAAAGAAAATCTATTGAAATGGAAAAACATTAAGAATAATATCACAAACGTATAATAGAACAATTTATATTTCATTTCTATACTCATCTTACATTCTTTACGGTTACGAATCTTAAAAAAAATAAAACAATGCGAAATACAAAAAATAACTTTTATTTCAAATATAAAAAAAAAATTTTAATTAGGCGAGATTACTGTCATTAAACGACTAATTAATTTCATTTTTAATTATCTACTGTGTAAATTTCTTATTAACTTATCTATTTTGTTATTTATAGAATACCCAGCGACCAACATTATTATTATTATTATTATTATTAATATTATTAGTTTTGTTTTTTGTGTAAAAATAAATGATACCGGAAATAACTTCTTTTAAAGCTTTCCATTAAAGAAAATTATATTCAAATATTATTTAAATGAAATTTAAAGCAACTTTTCTCCTATGGCACACGGTGCTCTCATAAAAAATAAAAAATAATTTATCTTAATTTGTGTTTTTTCTTCTTTTTCTTCATTCTATTTCTTTTACTTTAAACGCTATCGCAAATCTTAACGCGAGATTTTTTCTCATTTGTTTGTTTTGTTTCATATTTCTTTGTTATATGTGTATTCCTGTTTTTTACACTTAAATATTTTTTTTTATTTCGCTTTGGAAAATATTAAAAATTTCCAGAACGTTGTACGACAGAAAAGCTCAGATTATTATTATTATTATTATATACATATATATATATATAAAGAAAGAGGCGGTATTATACATTAATATAAAAAGAAACATCGTGCCGAATTTATTTAACACGTTTTCCGCCAAGCTACACTTGACTAACATAAGTGTCATTACCACGCCATGTGTATATCTAAAACGTTACACGCTATGAGATTTAATATACCTGCGAAATTTACATATTCCTTTTCGTTTCTTTCTACTTGGAAATTTATTTCATAGTTACTTTTTAAATATTTAAAAAATAATTTGCCGAATATACGACAAACAAATAAATTTGTTTTGTAGTGAAACAAAAGAATACAAGAATAATAATATAAATAATATCTAACGAATGAAAATATTTGCAAAAAATGTATATACGTGAGAAAATATACTCTTTAAATAATATATTTATTTTAAATATATTCCAATCACACATGATTTCATGTATCGATTTATTAAATCAAGGGAAACATAAATGTTGTTTGTGAGAATGATCGTCGAAATATATTCGTAATATCCAATATGCAATGTTACAATTTATATTTTGTTATATTTTAAATAAAAGATAAAAAGTATCACTTGACGTAAAATAATCAGTTCCAACGTGTACCGAAAATAATAGTACACGTGACAACAGTAAACGTGTTGATCATTCATTTGAAATTTTCCATTAGGAAACCCGATGGTCATTTTCTCAGATATTTCATTTAAACACGAACAAGATTTTATAATGATTTATTATATATATATTACGTAAATATAAATCGATCATAAGGAACCATTTTCTAAATTATCATTTGAATTTTCTTTCTATTGATGAATTAATCGACATCAAACCCTTTATCTAAAATTTCTTTTCTTTTATTATTATTATTATTATTATTTTCCCTTCCATCTCCATTATTATATAATACGAGATGTCTCATTTTCTTTTAACGATTCTTATCGAAAGAAAACAAAGCTAAGGTTATATAACGTCGAACGATAAT